GTCTACACGGAGAACCTGTCTGCTTGGGCCATGTAGATCTCATTCAAGAAAGGGGCAGAGCTTCTGGGGAGCATATCCCTCTGACGAGGACCAGCTTCTCCTTTGAGAAGCCTGGAAGGGACCTGTGTAGGGGTGCAGAGACGAGTATGCCCAGCCTGGAGGATGTAGTGATCATTAGCTGCTTGAAATGCTTTCAGAGCAGTGTTTGACCCCACGCTTCCAGTGCCTTTGAAGCAAGAGTCTGGGGTAAACTGCCCATGGGGAAATAAGGAAATAACAAAATCAGCATTTGGTTTCCTCCACAGCCAGGACTCTTGTTACCCTCTGAGAGAGCAGCAGGAAGGATAATCTGGTTTTCCTGCTTGCCCTTGTGGTGTGCTGCACCAGCTGGTCAGTGCAGGGAAGGACAAGCTGCAGATATATGCCAGTTGTTCTCGCCATATGTGCACATGCTCCTGGAGGGATCTCCTCCCCAAGGCAGGAAGGCCTGCAGTCCAGGTTGGTTAGAAAATCACATAGCAAAAGGAGATCTGCTAGAGCAGTGGTTTTCAGCCTGTGGTTTGCAGACCCTTAGGTGTCCGCAGACTGTCTAAAGGGTCTGCTAAAAATGACTGTGATCAATCACAAGTATGTGCATACCCACACTTACGATTCAGAGGGGTCTGCGGCTCCGTCTGAAATTTCCAAAGGGGTCCACACCTCTATTCAAAAATGTTTAGGAGTCTGCAGAAGAGAAAAGTCTGAAAACCACTGTGCTAGAGGATGGACTTTGCCAGGGAGACACGTACCACTTAACGTGCCTCTGTGCTTAGGGGATGACTCGTTGCTCTGCCGTAAATTCCTCCTCCTGCCCACTGGAAGATGTAATAGAGGAGCAGAGAGATCCTGTCGCATGTAAGAGATTGGTGAAATATCAGACTAGTTTCCCCAGCTGCTGCAGTGAGTCATCAGGCCCTCCTATTCAGGTTCCTGCTCCCAGCTTCTGTTTTAGATTGCCTTCATTTCCTCCCCCATGAGATAATATGAAGCAGCGAGAAGGACAGCAGCATAAATGTGCAAGAACCAGCAGGTGTGAAGCGACCTCTTGGCCCACCCTTCATTTTTCTGCCCTGGCCTTCACTTGATACATTTGGAAAGTGACTCAGCATACAGAGGAGCACTTTCACTTGCTAGCACTGCTGAGATAAATGCGACGGTTTTTCATGGTGGTTGGTGATTTGGTGTTTCTGGCTGGGGGAGGTATTTTTTTTTTTACCTGAAAGAGCAGTCTCCTCACTGCAGCAGTCCTTTACAGGCAGCCAAGTCCAGGCAGGAAGTGTCTCAGTCCCTTCCTTTGGACATGAAAACTCTTTCAGGTGGTGTTAGGCCAAGAAAAATAGTTACGGGTAAAACAAATGTGCCACCCAGCGCTCTCCTGTATGGCTGCACGAGTGGTGCTAGCATAGCGCTAGCTTGGCGCTTCTTTGCTTGGGAATGGCTTGACCTGAGGGCTTCTCCCTGGAAAGAAGGATTCAAATCTGTTTTATTCGGTACTACGAGGCTTTAGTCAATGAGTGAAGTCAGTCACTAGGTGTCTTAGCAAAGCAACAGGAAACTTTATAGGAGGTTGAGACATTTGCTCAGCTCTATAGAAAAAGGGACATACGGCAAGTTGAGACAATCAGTGGAGCACAATGGGAGGTGATGCCTCTTTCTCAATAGTAGCTAGGTAAGGTTCAAGGTCAGCCGTGACACTGTGTTGCCTCCAAGCTATCTGCAGGTCTCCTCCCAGTCTGTGCGAGTTGTTGCCAGGCTCTTTCAGTGTGGAAGCAAAGAGCTAGCCACAGTTTTGGATAGCTGTCCAGAGGGAAGCATTATGGAGACCAGGAACAGATTTATCCCAGTCTCAGTTTTAGCAACTACAGGAAAAGCTGGAACAGGAATGAAATCTATTGCCTACTTCAGATTGCAGCATTTCTCTGTCGGAGAACTTATTTTTCACTTCACAATGTATTTCACCAGCTCTATAATTTAAGTACATTTTAAATTTCATCCTGGCTGTGGGACTTCCAGAAGTGGGGCTTCCCCCTGCTGTCAGGACTAAGAGGTCTGGTTCTGCCCCAGCTGCAAGCAGGCTGAAGTATCCCTCATAACCAGTCTGTGGAGCTTGTTGGTCCAAGATAGAGCGTGCTGCTGAGCCCCGATCACGTTCCTGTTATCTGGGATGCGCTGTGTTTGTGGTGATCAGATGATGATCGCATCTGGAGGCCTCAGTCAAGGTCAAGACTGGGTGTTCTTCAAGCAGCACCAAGCATGGGAAAACGTTGCGACAGGGCCACGTGATTACACAGCCACCCAGAGGGCACCATGGATGGATTTAAACAGTTGTCTTTCTTCAGATGCAGATGAAGAGACGTTTCATTTTTCTAAACCGGGGAATTGCTGGGGAGGTGGGGTGCCACTCGGTAGGAGGGTGTGTGCCGGCCATTTCTTGGATGAGAGGGGGGCACATACATTGCAGTAGTGGGTGGAGTACCCACCCACACACCCGTGGGCTGTGCAGTCTGAGGATCAGTGACCATCACTCGTGCTGCCTCCGTGACACGTGGCCTTCAGGTGCTTTGAACTTGGATAGCTCTGTTCTAGACCAAGCCACCGAGCCATTATTGACGTAAACCAAGCTCTAGCTGTCTGGGCTGCGATGAAATATCACCCCAGTGCTTGTTGAGTGGGAAACAGAAAGATCCCCCTTGTTGCTTGCATCCTGTGCTGAGCAGCCATAAATAGCGACTTCCTAAAAAATCTTGTGCTCCAAGTTCCATGATCGCAAACCAGAGATTTATTTTTTTCCCTTTCTTTTCCCTCCAGTGGCTCAATGAAGCAAAAGTAATTCAAAGACTTGTGGAGCTCATCCATTCAAGCCAGGATGAGGATGTGAGTATGATGAGAATTATTTTTTTTTTTGGTTAAATGAAGATCTGGTGTGAAGAGATGGACCCTTGGGTGTCTTATGCTTGATGTAACGCCTGCTTTTCTAGTGCAAGGAGAACAACGATAGAGGATGTGTTTAGTAGTATGAGGATAGTGCTAGAAAGCCTCAGTTAAAGAGGCTTTCTTCATTCACTAGCATCAAGTTTCCTGTTTATTCTTAGCCTAGCTGTATTTATTTAATGTTGGATTGTTTTCTATAGTCAGTGATAACTGCGGTTTAATTAAGAACATGCTTCTGGAAGCTGGTTGTTGAAAGACTTTGAAAACTAACTGGCTTCTTCGGGGGGTTTTGGTCCTCTTTAAGCCAAAAAACATATTTATTTAGTATTGTCCTGAAATCTGCAAGTTGCACTTCTTTGCACTACTTCCGGGCTATTCACGTCGTATGTGCCAGATTTTAAATCACCCAGATTGAAAAGGACAGACAGGATGTTCCATCTTTTTTTCCCTAATCATTTCTGCAAAACATTCTAACCTAGGAGCTGCAGATTTTGGTCTGTTATATCAGCACCTCCCGTCTGACTGAGTCACCAGTGCTGACATTTAAGATCAGGAAACACGAGGATAATTTTTGATCTCTGTTTCAGCTGGTTGTATTTGATTTGGCTATTTGCTAGCAAATTATCACAGCTGCCAGCAGCAGAATGAACTTGATGGCTGCACAATGATTTTCTTATTATGCTGTTAATGTTTTGCTAGAAGGGGTCACATTCTGCTATCATCATGGTAGAAACTGCCCCATTGAGAAAATAGAAGGGAAATAGCTCATAGCATATGGACTTGCTTATCTTTTATAATGCTGTCTCATAGGTGGAGGCTACAGATGGCCTTGTACAGAGTCTAAAGAAATGGCTTTGATTAGTAACCACGTAGTCTACCACAGAATCTATCACAAATACTGCAATTGAAGCTTTAACCAAGAAGGGAAAGAAAAACCCTTCACTCTTTATTTAAAAAAAAACAGAACAAACCCTAACAAAAAATTACAATTGAGTTTAATTTCAAAGTTCAGTAGCACCCCTCCCCTCCCCTCCCCTTAATTCTGAAATCTCTGGTAATTGTGTTGCAGATGTAAATGGTGCTTTGAGGATACAAACTTGGAATGGAAGCTTATTCATTAAGGCAGAGTAAATTGGATTTTTCACATTATCGTTCCTTCGTATAGCATTTGTTCTGAGGGATTCTCATTTGCTGAGTTACATGCACTGCTGGCTGCAGTTCTGTTCCTTCCCAATTACATGATAGTTCCTCTGGAAGCCAGGAGAATCCAAGCTGTGCAATTAGTACTTACATTTGACCTTTTCCCATTATTTACAGAGGCAATCAAATGCTTCCCAGACCTTGTGTGATATCATAAGATTGAGCAGAGACCAGAGCAACCAGCTACAGGACATACCTGAGCCTGACCCACTTCTCATAGCACTGGAATCGTAAGTACATGCCAGAGGGATGTCACTAAGCTGGTAATTGCTGCTGGTAATGTCATTTCCTGAGAAGTCATTAAAAGTACTAATTATGCAGCCAGTATCCAACTTTGGCCACGCTCCTGACAGTTCTTGTAACTACTGGTTTTTAATATTGTTGTTATGTCATGGCAGCACCTAAAGGTCTTGTTTGAGACCAACTGCCGTTGGCATTATACCAGCATGAAAGAGAAAACAGTTTCTACCTCATAAAGTTTCTAGTGTGATTGACTGAAGATAAGACACTGCCAGCAAGTGCACTAAACAATAGTGACGACCTGGGAAGAAGGATTAGTTGTAACAGCAAGAAGATCTGAAGGAAACCCCCTCTGCATTTGGCTTCCTAGTCTGCTCCTTGGGCCTGACCGAGTTGCAGCATGTCACCTCTCAATCACATTTACAGAGGCTCTTCTAGATTCCAAGCCTGTAAAGACACATCACCCTCTAGGCTGGTTTCACATTAAGCCCCTGTTCTCCACCAAACTGGAGCAACAGCAAGACATTTTCTCAAGCTAATAGCTCATGTGGCATCGTACATATCCCCACTTTGTAGACTTCAGCCTCACTCTCGCCAACCCATGAAACATCAGATGTCAACTCTGCTTTTACGATACTGACTCCTGTTCCTGGTAGATGAATTCCCACATGGCCTTCAAAGGAGTTGCTAGAGGGTTGTTCTTTTCTGAGAAAATCCACAGCATGTATAGACGTTCCGTTTCCCAGGAGAAACTTTCTTGAGAGTGATTTAACCTTGGTTCCTCCCAGGTTATTTTCTCCTGGATTGGCCATTTTTACTCTGGGAGAAAAAGCCTGAACATCTGGACACTTGTGGTTTCTCGTGGGAGAGCAGCGACTGTCCCAGGAGAAACTGAATGTCTGTATGAAACCTAGCTCTGCTGGGACTCAGAACTAGTTTTAACTGCCCTCGATAGGTCAGGGCACAAGGACTTACAGGGCACATGCATGTCTCCAGTGGACACTGATGGTGAAGTGATATGATCTTGAACTAATCTGATGGTGTTCAACGCCGATAAATGCAAGGTTCTCCACCTTGGGAAGAAAAACCCGCAGCATCCTTATAGGCTCGGCAGTGCTATGTTGGCTAGCACTATGGAAGAAAGAGACTTGGGGGTCATCATTGACCACAAGATGAACATGAGCCTGCAGTGCGATGCGGCGGCTAGTAAAGCGACCAAAACACTGGCTTGCATCCATAGATGCTTCTCAAGCAAATCCCGGGATGTCATTCTCCCCTTGTACTCGGCCTTGGTGAGGCCACAGCTGGAGTACTGCGTCCAGTTTTGGGCTCCACAACTCAAAAAGGATGTGGAGAAGCTTGAGAGAGTGCAGAGAAGAGCCACGCGCATGATCAGAAGTCAGGGAAGCAGACCCTACGATGACAGGCTGAGAGCCCTGGGGCTCTTTAGCCTGGAAAAGCGCAGGCTCAGGGGTGATCTGGTGGCCACCTACAAGTTTATCAGGGGTGACCACCAGTATCTGGGGGAATGTTTGTTCACCAGAGCGCCCCAAGGGATGACGACTAGATCAAATGGTCATAAACTACTACAACACCGCTTCAGGCTGGACATAAGGAAGAAATTCTTTACTGTCCGAGCCCCCAAGGTCTGGAACAGCCTGCCATCGGAGGTGGTTCAAGCGCCTTCATTGAACACCTTCAAGACGAAACTGGATGCTTATCTTGCTGGGATCCTATGACCCCAGCTGACTTCCTGCCCTTTGGGCAGGGGGCTGGACTTGATGATCTTCCGAGGTCCCTTCCAGCCCTAATGTCTATGAAATCTATGAAATCTATAATTGGGGATATGTATCCTGTAGGTGAGATTAGTATGGCCAACCACTATGAAGAGTCACAGTCTTTGTAGAGTAACCATTTTTAATTAGGGCTGCCCTTGTAGCCTTAGCTTGGTTGCTTCATTCTTAAGCATTATCATAGTAGTCTCTAAAACATGTTTATGTGTACTACCTTATTCATGGGACCTGATGCATTGAGTGAATATTGAATATTTCTTCTTGTTTATGCTGTGTCTTTCACTCAATTTTAATATATGCCATTCATGGCCTAGGCTCAATGCAAACTTAGTAATGTTCTCTTGAATGCGGCTGTGATCTTGCCGTAATCTCTGGAAACTTCCACAGTTAGATAAGTTCACATCCTCCTGCCCTCCCCTTTCTGCCTCATCGTTATTAAAGCCCAAATGGTCAAAATTGTCTGTTAGTTTTTGGTGCCCAAATTGAGACACAGAGAACCTGACTGGTCAGGGAACTTGGCATTTTTGTTTCTATTACTGTTTCCCAAGCATACCTCTGATCAGTTTGTATCGCGGGTGTCTGTGTTTGGCCCTTGGGGTCTCACGTGGGCACCCACAAAACAATGAACACTTAGTGCCCAGCTGTGAACATCTGGTCTACGGGATTTGCCCTGCACTACACAGGAACGTTCAGGGAGGGGCTGCAATAGAATTTGGTTATCTAAGCTTAGATTGCGGTCACTGTCCTGAGCCAGGAGACTATGCTTTCCTTTCTTGAAGCCCCGACCCCACTTGTGGCATACACTTCTGCTTCTGCAACAAATGAGCCTGGGGTCCTAAGCACTAGATGTACAGACTGTATTTCTCCCTGGAGTACAGTCCATAGTGCATTAAATGGACTGATGGCCTGTGAAAAAAAAATAGTATATGATCATGTAATTTAACTTATGAGGAGGGGCTGAGGGAACTGGGCTTATTTAGTCTGGAGAAGAGAAGACTAAGAGGGGAATTAATAGCAGCCTTCAACTCCCTGCAGGGGGTTGCAAGGAGGATGGAGCTGGACTGTTCTCAGTGGGGGCAGATGATAGAACCAGGAGCAATGGGCTCCAGTTGCAGCACGGGACTTCTAGGTTGGATAATAGAACAAAAAACTTTCTCACTAGGAGGGTGGTGAAGCACTGGAACAAGTTATGTAGAGTTGTAGGCTCTCCATCATTGGAGCTTTCTATGGTCTAGCCTAACAAACCCTTGGCTGGGATGATGTATTTGGGGCTGGTCCTGCACATGAACAGAGGCTGTCCCCAGCCTGTTCTTGAGTATTCTCCTCAGTTGAGAGCTCCCATGCCTAACTGCAGACACTGTCCCCTAGCTTTAACAAGCAGTGGAAGGAAACTGAATAGTTCTTGTTACTTCCACTGCCCACAAGGTTTGAAAAGCAACAGTGAAAAGCGACAAGTCTCTAGTGAGTTCATTCTGCTACAGACTGGCCAAACTAGGAACAGCCACAGATGTACTGGGTCTGGGGATCTGCAGACTGAAGACATTAGTTATGTTTCCTTCATATTTCAAAGGTTTATTTTACAGCCAAAAATGGCTAGAGAGGTTAGGTGCCACTGACTTGTTCTATTGAATCAAACGTGCAGAGGAGACTCCAAGAAGTTTTTGTATGGCACTCATCCCTGCAGGATCTGAGCACCTCCCACTAATTCACTGAGCAACAGATGTAACTCCCATCAAGCATTTGTTCTCTCTTCTCTCATCGTCTCCAGAGGGAGAAGCAGACACAGTACAGTTCAACATTTTGGTAGCATTTTTTTCTTGTTAGAATAATAGAATCCTAGATGATGAGGGCTGGAAGGGAGCTCAGGAGGTCACATCTAGTCCAACCCCCTGCTTAAAGCAGGACAAGTCCCAACTAGCTTATTCCAGCCATGGCTTTGTCAAGCTGGGCCTTAAAAACTTCCAAGGATGGACACTTCACCATCTCTCTAAGTAACCTGTTCCATTGCTTCACCACTCTCCTAGTGAGAAAGTTTTGCCTAATATCCAACCTAAACCTTCCAGCCCTACTATGCTATGATCTACGATTTTGAAGGAAATATTAAGTCAGACTAAGGGGAGAGTTCATCTGAGGACGCAAAGGCAGCTTCTGTTTGCTCCCTACAGCAGCAGCAGGAGTGGACCCGAAGCACATGGGAAGGCACGTTCCCACACACTGAGTCGGGAGAGGACATCAACCTGTCCTCGAAGAGCAAAGCTGTTCAAGGGACTCCTGCAGCTCAACACACAGCACTGCATTCCACATGTGGGAAAGCACAGGGGCCTTCAAAGAATCCCCCTACGTTTCATTTCAATACTTGAGGACAAGACTCACTCATTTAAAGTTCTACTCTGACCCCCTTTTGTTAAAATAATGCCTTTTGGCTTAAAAAGCTCATACTCAATCTCAAAACCGAAGTGAATATTTTTAGGTTTGAGGCACATAATTATTGAATAGCTTTGCAAAGGAAGGACTGAAATTGCTGACATGAATAATTTAAAATTGGAATGGAAAAAATATTTGAGAACACATTGTAGGAAATGATCCTGTAGTGCCGAGGGAATGGACTAGATGAACTAACAGTTCCTTTTCATCTCTAATTTCTATGATCCCGTTAAGTCATACGCAAGCAGCTTTAGTCACAGGGCTTTGAAAAATTTAACGTTTTCTGATTTGGAAAGTGTCTAACGTTGTTTGAGAAGCTGTAGGTCGAGAAGGCTTTGCTTTTCCTAGCTCAAATTTCTCATGAGTGTGTTTCATCCAACACAGTCTTACAGAGACCAGCTCTGGGGGGATAAATGTCATTTAAAAGTTCCAGTGTGTGCAACAGCGAGCTGCGAAGAAGTACTGGACATGCAAAGTCAGCTGAAAGCAGGAGCTCGTACAAAGCGCCATTACAAAAAGGGGACTTTTATCACCCAAGGGTGTTGAGGGAGCTGGCAGGGGTCATCACGGAGCCTTTGGCCCGACTGTATGAGCATTTGTGGTCATCTGGCCAGGTGCCGGGGGATTGGAAACTGGCTAATGTGGTCCCTATTTTTAAGAAGGGGAGGAAGGGGGACCCAAGTAATTATAGGCCTGTAAGCCTCACCTTGGTGCTCGGGAAGCTCTTGGAGAGGATCATCCAGGAGCACATCTGTGGGGGGCCGGCAGGGGAGATCATGCCCAGGGGCAATCAGCATGGGTTCACCAAAGGCAGGTCCTGCCAGACCAACGTCATTGCCTTTTATGACCAAGTAACTAAATCCCTGGATGATGGTGTTGCCATGGACGTAGTCGTTCTAGGCTTTAAGAAGGCCTTTGACACTGTCTCTCGCCCCATCCTCATCAATAAATTAAGTGACTGGCATTGGTGCCTGCACAGTTGGATGGGTAAAAAACTGGCTGATGGGGTGCACCCAGAGAGTAGTGGTGGACGAGTTGTACTCAACCTGGCGAGATGCGAGCAGTGGGGTCCCCTGGGCCCGGTCCTCGGGCCCGCACTGTTTAACATCTTCATCAGCGACTTGGACGAGGGGGTGGAAAGCACGCTTTCCAAGTTTGCTGATGACATTAAGATGTGGGGCGAGGTGGACACACTTGAAGGGAGAGAGAGGCTGCAACTAGATTTAGACAGACTACAAAAGTGGGCAGACGAGAATAGGATGG